GCAAAACAATTAAAGCAGAGGTGGGTGAAACAGTGCCTGTGTGTCTGCTATGGTTGTAGCACGATGGGGCTGATGACCTGGAGTTAAGTCCACAGAGATGTCCCAAACAGACAGCCTAGCCAGCACTCCCTCTGAGAGACAAGTTCTGCAGGATGTACACAAGACAGCCCCAGAAGATAGACTGTGATAAATGGGTTCATGGAAGTGGTTTGCCTGCTATGGAAGAACCCAGGTGACCTGCAGGAGCAAGTCATATTTAAACTTGATAGCTATGCTACCTGAAATGGGCATGTGGTAGATGATGTTTGCACTGCAGCACTGTAGCCCAAAGGAGGAACTGCTGATGGCATGCATGAAAGACATAATCCTCGTGAGTGGACTGACTGGCATATTTGGGTCAGTGGCAGCCCTCCTAGCCCCCTTTCTGATCAGCTGATCCATGACACTGTTGATGTTTGGGGCAAGCTAGGAGATGTGGAAGTGAAGCGCCATGGTAAGACAACATCTGCAAAAATTGTACAAGCAAAAGAGAAAAAGAAGTGGGGCTCCAGGCAAGTGGACCTGTACCCCTAAGGACAGGCTCAGGTTACTGAGGGTCAGTTCACATCAGATCTGGATGGACCTGCTGGCTGCTGACCGAGCTGCAGATAAGTTAAACAGGCAGCCTTAGGTATGCTGCTACTCTGGAGGCAGTTATGCCATGAGCAGCAATACCAGCCAATGGGCCAGGGACAAAAGGCCAAAACAGCCCTAGTGAAGCAGGAAAAAAAGATACTGGCTTCCTTTTACCTCAAAGATAAGGCAGGGTGACATATCTTGGGTCTTGGGGGTCCTGAGAGACAGGAGGCCACATGTGGAATTGACTATTTACTGGTCCTCAAAGAATATGCAATGTGTACTAGCATTGGTGGAGCTGAGTCAACATTAATATAGGGCAATCCACATTATTCTGCAGAAACTACCACATGCATAGAAGAGTATGGAGGTCACTACATCATAATCCAGAAGACCCAGGTGACTGGGTATTGGGTTCTTGTCCCCATGCCTGTATTATGTTTATGTTTCTCCAGTTGCTGAAAACATACTTGGGGTGGACATACTGAGTGGTGCTCAGCTTGACACCATGCAGTGGGAATTCTAGTTGCAAATTCACATGGTAAAAACCATAGTCTCAGGCTATTCACATCACACAATGCTGATTTTTTCACAGGCCACATGAGTTGTGGGAACAAAGCAGTACTGGCTACCTGGAGGCCATGAGGAATAAGAACCAGAGCTCCCCCCAACAGTGCTACAGCCATCTCCAGCATCAGTGAGGTCCTGCGCTCCTCCAATGATGAGGAAAGCTGAGCTCAGTTTACCATATGTCTAGATGTAACTATGTGACTAAGCTCTAACTAAGAGTTCAACCCAGAGCCCAGGTCCAATGTGAGTGGGACTGCCCAGGAACCATTGGATCCTCATTCAAGCCAGCACCCAGAATGGAAATATATTCCACTTCAGGTCTTATCCTGAAAAGGATTAATTCTATGCTACTCCTAAATATCCTTCCTCCTATGGGTTGAAAAATACAAAACCGGAGCAATTGGCTTGGATCAACAGAGGAAGTTGATTATTGAGAATGGTACAGCCACCCTACCAGCCCATTGTCTTTTGAATGTTATGAGAGAAATTATCTTCTATCTCCTATAAACTAATACATACTATTTTTAACTTTGTTTCAGAAGTTGAGAATATATCCTGACTGGTACAGAGGTAATGTTTGTCCCCATTGTGAAATAAGACAGATAAGACAGTCTTCTCGCAATCTTGTTCCAGTCCAATGCTTTTTCTATACAATGAATTCCATCCTCATGAGTCTTCCTTTCCTGGCTATCTTCAACCATTCTTCTTGCCATCCATACATAAAACATTTATCTAAGGCTTTATTTTGCAAACATCTTTCAAATAATCTGGAAAACAAAACCCTACAATCTAAATCATTTCTGGTTCCAAGCGTTTTGGATGATGAATACTCAACATGTAGCTTAAATATCAAATAGTCTTTGATGCAGCAATTCTATTTCTAGAAATTAGAACAAGGATACAATTATGGATTCATATTAAGATTTAGAGGATACTCACTAAAACAATGCTAATAATAATTCTATGTTGCTACATGTTCAATAGAAAACTGGCTAAATACAAAGTATGATACAATAACATGTTAAAATATTAGGGGCCCTAATATTATAAGTATATTAGGGGGCCCACTGGATCTTGATTCGACCCAGAGCCCAGGCCCGGCATGTGAGTGAGACCACATGGGGCCTGCTGGATCCTGATTCAACCCAGAGCCCAGGCCTGCCGTGAGTGGGACCGCCTGAGGCCCACTGGATCCTGATTTGAACCTGAGCCTAGGCCCAGCATGAGTGAGACTACCTGGGCCCTAGATCCTGATTCAACCTAGAGCCCAGGCCCAGCGTGAGTGGGATTTCCCAGGACCCATTGGATCCTCATTCAAGCCAGCACCCAGGCCTGACATATGAGTGGAACTTCCTCCATCAGACAGGCCCAGTGTGAAACCCTGTGGCAGAACTCCCTGTAGAGAGGCTAGAGGCAAGACTCACCCAGTTGATCCAGGAGTACAACTCTTGCTAGAGTGGCACAGCGGGTTCACCTCCAAGGGCTGCAGCAGGAATAAGTGGAGCACAGAGGCCAGACCCAAGCCACACCCACTGGGATGAGTTTGAACTCGGTAGATCCAGACCTGGTGCTAAAATAATAACTCTACCAAAGCTCTACACCAAAGGTCAGAAGACAGTGCTATACAAAATAACAAAGAGAAGAAGCAAAATGTATTCTTAGGCCCCAAGCCCACCTAGAACAAATGCAGGAGAAAATAGCATAGAATAAATTGGAAATCACACACCTGAAATCTCTGAAATAATAGCATCTGAAGTAAAGAAACAACTGCAGAAAGGTATAGAGGAAATCAGATCAGAAATAATTTCTGAAGTAAATAAAGAAATAATGAAAAAAGTACCAAGTGCTTCTAAAGAAGACACTGATTATTTTTTTTTTTTAATCAGAATAGAAAAATGATGGAATCCTTGAATGAAAATATAGGAAAGAAATACAGACCATGAAGCAGACTCAAAGTGTTATACAGGAAACTAAAACCTCAATCACAAGCTGATAAAACTGTTTGAATGAAAGTGAAAATAGACTTTCAGACCTTGAAGACATCATTGCAATTAGTGAAAAGGTAAGAAAAGATTTCTTAAAAACAACTAGGATGCTGGAAAAAATAATTCAACATCTGCAAGACAATGCAAAAATGAACAACATAAGACTAATAGGCATCAATAATAAAGGAGTTAATACAAATGATATAAAAAGAATATGGACAGAATAGCAGAAAACTTCCCAAAAATGGGCAATCTGACATTCAGTAACAGAAGCATATAGAACTCCAAATAACATAAACCCAATTAAAAACACATGCAGACATATAATAATCAAGATCCCAGAAATTCAGCACAGGAACAGTATAATAAAAGCCACTAGAGAAAAGAAACAGATCACATTTAAAGGAAAACCTATCAGAATAACAGCAGATTTCTCTTCACAAACCATGAAGTCAAGAAGAGCATGGAGCAAAGTAATATAAGTCTTGCAAGAAAACAAATTTCAACCCAGACAAATATACCCTGCAAAACTCTCTTTGAAGTATAATGGAGAAGTGAAATAGTTCCATGACAAAGAACAACTAAAGAATTTCATGATGACAAAGCCAAGCCTATACAGACTACTAAGAGATTCTAGGAGGAACCAAAATGACCACAATTCTATGAATAAGAATGGAAAGAACTCACCAAATAGGGCAAACAATTAAGCACAGGAGAAAAAGAGGTATACAACAGCAGTCTTTCAATTATTCTTTTGTGTATAGCAGCAAAATATTTCCATTAGCATACTCTACAAATAGACTTCTCCTGTACCCTATAGGTCATGATTCTGTTCGGGTCCACAGGGTGGATATCAAGGAAATAACAGTTGCTTATTCTACTGAGCCATCTCCCTGGCCCCATACTGTTTGTTTTTAATTAAGATATCTTTGTCCAGTGAAAAGTCACCAAGAATTTCTTCCATGCATTCTTCATGAAACGTTTATATTTTTACCCTTATATTCAGATTGATGACCCATTTTAGATAATTTCTGTTTTAAAATTATTATAAGTTTTTGACACTGGGAGTGGTGGCATGCGCCTGCAATCCCAGTTCTTGAGAGACTGTAAATAGGTAGATCACTATGAGTCCAATCTAGTAATGAGACCTTGAACCCCCTGTAGACCCTTCCCTAAAAAAATACCAAAAATAAATAAATAAAATTATTAT